GATCATTACACTAAAACTAACAGGAAGATTGATTATTGTTTAAGGCTACTATTGACAAGTTACTTTGGGAAAAAATATTTTGAGCCTGCCTAAACTATGCAAATAGCTGTTATCACTTTACTGCAAACTCATAAGCAACAAGGAGAAGAACATGTTTATTATGTCACCATAACACTGCAAATAAAGAAAACAGCAAATAATAAAGAATAAAAAAATGCTGTTTGTGTATTCACTCTTTTCAGAGTCAATTGTCTTGTTTTTCTTCTTTGATCTGTTTAGTAAATACTGACAGAAAATAACTCAATACGGTAGCCTTCAATAACTACATAGAACACATCAAACAACACCATTAAACAAAATTATCACAGGGTCACAAAAACAAAGGAAAAAAAATAGATTTATGGCTTTTAAACAGCCACAGCCAACAGTGTTGTAAAGTGACATTGTATGTTAACAAGATAACATTTATGGTGGGTTACTACCCTTGTCAACCTCAGTGCCGGGTCTGCAGTCTACAAGATTTACATTATTATTTTTGCTTATAGTAATACTATCCTGTGCTAGCACTTTAATTATCAGGAAAAAAATCCTGTTGAGTTTGATTGGGTTACTGAGTAATCTATACAATTTGATGTCTTACATCTATTGAAACAGATAGATTACACTGATAAATTGTGTTTAAACCTGATTAAACTCAATAAAAAAATGCACAGCTTGGCAGTTCCCTGTCACTAAAAATTAAGTTTTAACCACATGTTAACAAGCAAATAACCTAACAGAGTGTTGATGTTTATATCATAAATTAAAGTTTAACTAATGACAAGACAGTAGCTTATAGACGTGCCAAAGAGGTCTTCTTTATTTAAAATAATTAACAATTTTAATATAAGGTAAATCCGTTAAACTTTTAATTTTTTCTTTGATAACAAAAATGATTTATTTTGTTAATGAAAACAGGGATACTGACAAGCACTTCATGAGTAAAACATGTTTATAATTTTACTGAAAAACCAAATATATTTTTGTATTATCTGACATTACCTAATAAGTAAGCCTATTAGTCCATCACACTGGGGCTGAGTGTATATGTTTCCATCCCCCTTTTTTGGTACTTTTATGTTTTGTGCAAACGTTAATCACCACAGCTTGTGGTTGAAAAGGTCAGTGCTTGTTACACAGTAATAAGCAAGCTGTACTAATACCTTCTCTGTGGCAATACTAATTACAATATGAAAGTCTAGTGTTGATTGCCCCTCTTCTTAATTTTATTATATATTTATACGTAATCAGTAACTTTATGCAGTACTAAAAGTAGGGCAAAATTATTTTCTCTTGGCATTATGGAACAAGTTAAATCTTGGGTGTTAAAAGAATAATTTAACCAGCCTTGCAGTAAGTATAACTTTTAGTGCTTTAGACCCACTTTTGCCTTCATAACTGTTTCACTTTTTCATGACACAAATTAATCAAGGTATCAGAAAAATTTCTTTGAGACTTTGGCCCATATTAAAAAGATAGCATAACATAGTTGCTGCATATCAGCTGCTCATTAATGAGGTCATTCTTTTGTTTCACCACAAGTGCTTTGGAGTGAGATCTGGTGATGTGGCATATGGCTTGTACATATATTGCACATATCGAGTCGGGGGACTGCAAAGCTCTTTTTACTGTTCTTTTTCACATAATCTAACCAACAGAAATGCATTTGTGACTCTTCATGTAATCTTGGTGGGCCCTGTGTCTTATGGAGTCTGGTCTGTGGTTGAGGCTCAGTGTGGTATATATTACCTTTGCCCCATTGAAGGTTCCCTATTGCCTCTATGAAGAAGGCTGATCATAGCAAAGGGTTCTGTGTGTCAAATTTGAGAGATGTTGGGGCCTAAAATCATAGTTCACAAGTATTAAAACACACACAGCTGGAGCTGAGACTTGACCTCCTCCTCACAATGACGGCTGTCATATAGAGAAAACTGAAGGTCAGTTTTGTAATTTCTAATGTGACATCAAAGCTGCAGGGCATTCTGAAACAACAGTTTGTTACTAATATAACGGCCCAACAACTTTAAATTCAGTCATTCATTAATTTACACACACACATTCACACACTGATGGTTGCATACTAAATTGTAGCCACATCCACCCTGGGGATGGCTAACAGACGTGAGGCTGCTTGGGTGTGCTGCCAGGACACAACTAAGATAGATATAGCTGATGTTGCAGAGCAGTTTTTGAGGCCAGCATACAATGAACATTGTCAAGTTCATGTTTCCGATGTTTTAAGCTTTAGAAAATTTTGCATTATCCTCTTCATATAACTCCTTAAAACATGGTTATACCCTGGTTAAAAGAGAATAGGCATGGTGGAGAAACTATACAACCAGGCTTTTGCTTTTGAAATATGCTCAGTTGTAGCTAAGGGGCTAGAAGGGCCTACATTAGCCAGAACTATTTACATAGGCCAGGATGGGACCAGGTTTTTATAGTTTATTTAAACCACTTGGTATTCACAATTCTCTCACCTTGTTTTTTAATAGTTTCAAACCATTGTAATCTAAGGGTTTATAACTTATAATTTAATTCAATCTATACATCTTTTTTTTTCTTGTTTTTGCTTCAAAAAATTAGTATTCCAGAATGTCCTGAAACAAAAGATAAGATTCATTTAGGTAAATCAGGTAAGTGTGTCTTTTTCATGACTCAGAACAGGAACAGGCAGGCTCGGATGTCCAGGAGTCCAAAGCCAGGTCAGGCAAACAGGTCGGAACAGGAACAGGCAGGCTCAGCAATCCAGGAGTCCAAAGGCAGGTCAGGCAAACAGATCAGAACAGGAACAGGCAAGCTCAGTGATTGAGAGGCAGAACAGTTCAGGATCAGGTAATCAGAAACACTCAGGTACACTAAAAACACTCGCCACTGAGATCAGACGGGAACAGGCAGGCCCCATGATTGAGAGGAAGAACAGGTTAGGATCAGAAAATCAGAATCACCAAGGAACTCTAAAAAAAAACTCTCACCACTGGCTAGGGGAAACAAGAATAATCTGGCACTGATGACTTTTTGGAAGCAACTTAAGTAGAGGCAGGGGCAGGTGGATCAGATGAGCAGGGATGAGAAGCCGGACAGAGTTAGACAGGTGAATAAAATGAGTAATTAAGCCAGTCATCAGTGCCAAGATCATGACAGTCTTGTCTACTAACAATACAAACTTGTCTTTTTTTTTTTTTTACAAATGTTTTTTTTTTTTTTTTTTTTCACTAAAATGTTCTATCTATGTGAAGGTCATGGCTAAGGACTTGTAGCCCTCGAGTAATGTATATTTGTTTTAAGTATGAAATGGTAATTTGTCTCCATTTGGCATCCACCAGAAATGTCCCTGCATCAAGAACAGAAACATGCACAAAAAGATGACAGTTAACCACCTGTATAGATCACAGAGAATTAAAAAAAATGGGAGTACCGTAACAACCCACAGATAAAAAGAGAGAAGACTCACCCATCTGAAAGGCATCTGGTAGCTCCACTCTCAGCCCTGCTGTGTAACAATGTTCTGCATGGAGCAATTTAGCAATAATAAACTAATTTAATTATCTCAGGAAGCTGTTCCTGTCATAAACTCTAGCCTACTACAGCCTCCAAGATGTCAGTTTATAACCCCTAATTCACAATGACAGGGTTGACTAATGCAATGTAGTATTTACTATTAAGACGTGTGGTCATTTAGTCAAAGAAGAATGGCATTACAACACTCTAAATACATGTTTAAATAATTTAGATTTAAACTAATGGTAATTGTATAAAGAATATGATCAATTTTGATTTTTCATTACTATTAAAGATTTATTTACTACTCGGCAAAAATGTTTTTCCTTCTGTATCTACCCATTTTAAAGCAAAATCGCAATTTCAAAATCTTCCGCAGTTTTAAACCCAACCCTGAGTAAGTTAATTAAACCCTTAAAGGGCCCATGACATGTTTTTCTCACAATTTCAAACAAATAAAGGATAATGATGTAATAGAAAATTAGCAATATTGTGATGTATTGTATTGTATTTAATGTGATAAAAGACACAATAAAAACGATTGTGGAAAAAAAAAATGGGTATAATTCTTTGACAAAATTTGACAGTTGACCAGAAAGGACAGAACAGGGAAACTCCGTTGTGGCAATTTCAGTTATAAGCTGTATAGGTAGACAGCAGCTTGCATTAAAATATCGTATAAAAGTTGCTGCTGCATAGTTACAACATTATTTTGATTCCAGTCATTGGTTTGCACAACTGTTTATTTATTAAAAACATAAATTGCGTTTGCTGCCACTCGTCTGTGCGACTGCTTCAGCCTGGGGTTGTTTTGCTGCTGTGGGGCGCTTTCAGCTCTGCTGGCAGCTCCAACATATAGAGAGTACCAAACTTGTGCTCATCCAATGACAGCTGACGTTCTGACTCTGCTTTGTCTCTCTCCGATAGTGGCTGAAAGATAACTACAGAAAAATTCAGTTTTTCACCGCTGTCTGTGTGGCAAACCATTTTACCAGAAATTAGTTCATGTGCTGCGATTCCCTTTTCCCATCATAAAAGAGAAAAAATACAATCCCAAAATTGTATTCTGAGAGTGCTGTTTTGAAGTTATATTGTAACCATTTACTGTATGTCATTAACTGTGGCATTACTGTACATGTCCTCTGGCATTAGATTTTGTTTCAACTTTTTAGGATGGGCAGTTAAATGTTAATAATCCTAATCATTTGTGAAACGTTTGTTGGATCCAACAATAATGAACAGAAAAAAACAAACAATTACTCTCAAATTTGTATTTTCAAAAATTACCCCAGACAATATTGAAATAAATTGTCTGTAAACTATTGTTCTATCTCACAATTACCCAGTGTTTTACAAGAGGATAATTTTACCTTTCCATATCATTGCACCAAAACAACCATTACATGATGAAACACAAAGACAGTCATTACAGACAGCCAGGAAACACCAGCCACTCAGGGAAGGAGTAACTCATTTTGTTTTATTTTATTAGAAAATATCCACACACCATAAAAATTACATGTACAAAACTATAGATTTTGAATTGCTTTATGTACACATACAAAATATAAAGACCCTCCCTGCCCCCGAAAAGTGAGAGGAACACACGAGGGGAAAAGTGAAGAATATGCATTATTTCATTTTTTTCCCTTTATTCTTGTGTGGGATTTTACGGCTTTTCATTCAGATCCTGGTCTACCATTGTACATATTAGCAGGAAACCGTTCAAGATGCCAATATTTATGGTGACACTGCAGAACAAAAACTAATACAGACAGGGGCACAAATGAGGTTATATATCTGATATTTTCACAAATCTCCATTCTTTTTGTCAAACTATTAAAAAAGGATGGAGATGCTTTTATAAAGAAGCCTGGAAAATACTGAGGATTGGTTTAAAGCAATATCTAAAATGACTTTAGAAAGTTAAACTATCATGAGTAAAAAAAAAACAAAACAATAAGTGTTGGAGTTATTACCTATGTGCGAACAAATGTACTTGGTGGTAATGAAGACCACTTGTGCCTGAATGACAACAGTCATACTATTAATAACACATGTTTTGGAGCAATTTATGGTCATACTGCATTTTTTCTTCACATTAAACCATTATGGGACCTGCAGTAAATGACTATGTGTAAACTTATTCGGTAACAATAATGTGATATATGATATCAATAATGACTGATGTGAACCTGTACCCTGTTACTTCAACCTTTTTTTCTTTGAATCCTTCTTATGATATTCCTCGACAAGTTGCCGTCCTTCTGATGACTGGATCTGAAACAGAGTGAACGAGGAAAATAATTATTCATCATGCATATAAATGTTTGTTTTCATCACAGACCAAAAAAATCGAAACCCAAAGGTGTTTTTAAAGCCTGTATGAGCATAGCATACAGATCAAGGCACAGATAGTAGAAGATCAAGTGTGAAAATATTTATATATTTAATATTTCCAACCACACATCCTTGTTGAATAATGATCACACCAATCAAAGTGTTACCTTCAGACAAACAGGAACTTGTTATTCCACTGTAAATAGTTTTTATCAGTTTTAAAATGCATAAGTGATTATCATGTTGTTGTTTTTTTGTACAAACCCATTGAAACTATTTTGTTTAAAAGATGACTTCATTATTTTGCTTAAGTGAAATAAACTTAGAAACACTTCAACACTGCAACAAACTCTGCCTGGTCATCAAACCCACTGTTACATCAGAATAAACCCTTATCTAGCACTGCAATGCTGCATCGTTGTTAGACCTCACATACTGTACATAGGCTATAGTCCTCAATGCAGAATTTAATTACCAAACTTTAAAACTCTTTTGGCCCCTTTTTCCATCTTTTAAAAAATTATAAAATGCCAAAACAACTCAAAGTTTTAAGAATATCAAGCTCTTAAAGCATCTCGTTTTTTTCAGAGATCGAAATTACCCTTTGTCTACTCTGACACTTACTGTATCTGTATGAATATACATTACAGATTTTCTTGAGGAAACTTAATTTGCTTGACTGCTTTAATTGGACCTCAGCTTTTCAACAGAATAGCTCGAATCATGCCCTAACCATTTCCCAGACACTTTAAATAGATCTGCACTTCTTTGCCAGCAGCGTAAAATTGGGTGAGGGCGGATGTCCCCCAGTCTTTGTTACATTGCTTTTTTTTCGGGCTACAATTCAGATAGTGTCATATAATAATCTTTTGTTGCCTTGATCAGCTTAACAGTCTAAATGAGGTTTTTGTACTTAATTTTCTCCTGTGCACGTTTGTGGATCCAACTGCTGGTGTAAATACTGAAAGAGTCAAATGTGGGGAAAACAGTGTTAATATTGGCAACTCCAACATTGTGTCTTTTTTCTCAAAGCACAATTCCTACTGATTAAAATCAGGATTAAAAACAGTTCATGGGGCTAAAACAAAAATCTACAGATTGAAAACAGATATAAAAACTAAATCATGCAAAAGCATTTGACTAAATCTTCACTAAAATCTTTTGTCATTTTAATCAAAATGTCAACAATGGGTGGTGAGGTTGCTTGAGGACCCAGATGCAGAGACAAGGGAAGCAGAGATGAGTTCTGAGAGGTTTAATAGCAGACAATCTGTAGCAGAGGCAGAAATCCAGAAATCCAACTTAAAATATAAAACAAACCAAAATCATGGAGACATCAGGGGAAAAACGAATCTGAGGAACCGAGGAGAGACGAGCAGAGTAGATTATACAGCAACAAGAAGGAACCAACACTGAGAGACTGCAGAGGTGGAGTATTTAAGGACAACCAAACAAAAGGATGGACTAACGAGCTGAATGGAGAGCAGGTGTGGGTGGAACTGGCAAGAGGGAATCCAAGGGAAAAGAAAACAATCACAAGGGGGCAACAGAGAGTAACTAAAGAATGCTTGAAGATCATGGAAAATAATAACAAAACTGATAACAGAAAACTGAAAACTCAGAGTCACAACAAATAAGAACCATAACACAAAAAACTACAGCCAAAACAATTCATGACGTTGATTATATAACTTGGAACTGTCTCTTCAAATTATGAGTATGATAAAAACAGGGTTAACTTACACATTTAATCTATCTGCACTGGCCTACCATACTTTTAGTAATGATAAATGGCATGTACGTTTGTAACTCTTTTTCAAGCCAGGAGACCAAAGTGCTTTACACTACATTCAGTCACTCACACACACACACCCACACACTGATAGTGGCTGGCAGCTTGACAGAAGCTAGGCTGCCTTACACTGGCACCACCGGGCCCTCTGACTACCATCGGTACACGTTGCAGGTGAAATGTCTTGCTCAAGGACACAACAATACTAAAAACCAGAACCGGGGCTTAAACCGACAACTCTCCGATTGCAGGGCAAACTCTTGCATCCAACGTCACTGCCACGCTTTCAATAGTGTTTCCCTTTATATTTCAATTAAAGTAACAATTTAAAATGTATTAACTCCTGATGAGCATCTTTCAGTGCAATATGGTGCATGATCATGTTTGCCATTGTGTTCAATTAACTTTGTGTGCATAATCTGTACACAGACACACTGATTAGTTAAAATCTATCTTAAATCAGTGACATCTGGTCAGTAAGTCTTACTCTTGGTGACACCCAGTAATCACGATTCACTTAAGTCAGAAAGGAAAGTCTGGCATTTTTGAGGGAGGCTTATGAAGTAACCCTCTGGACTGATGATTATTCACTGATATTCAAATCAATTACGCAGAGTTGTTGCTGCTACTATGTGTTTGATAACCACCTGCGATCATGCTGGTCTGCTAGCTGATTTTTTCTGCTAATCTGAGACTGTTTTGGTCTGATTTCAAGTTTTAATTGCATTCTTTACTGTAGTGAGTGGAGACCTATGTCAATGGAACGCAGCAAAGCAAAAATTAACTCAAAAATAGATTCAAATTGTTCTGTAACATAAAAGATAAAAAAAAAAAAAAACAGGATCTAACTTTTAAAAAGCATCTTAAAGTGCTGAAAGGCAAAATGCCTGAGATTTAATAACAACACAATGCTATCTAAACTAACAAAAAATGTAATTTATGATGACATGGTTTGTACAGAAAATACAGAAAGGATTTTATTTCCTAACAAGCTTCGTGGTAATTTAGTTTTTGCATTGTTATATTGATAAATCAAAGTTACAGTTTAATTTTACTGATGAGAGGTACTAGTTTTGTCTGGAGGCAGAAAAACGTTGCGGGGGAAAATATTTTAACTAACGCTGGACCTTTGAAATTTTCTGCATTTAATATTACTTTGCTTTTTTTTCCTGATAATTTTTTTAACTCTTTTTTTTATTATTATGCACATGCTGCCTTGGTTACTTACAACGATTTATGAGTAAATGTCAGCTAGTCTGTGTTTTAAAAATGCTTTTTTTCATGGTTACAAATACCATTGTTGCTTGCCCATTTGAATCATTGGTTCCACGTGCCAATTAATGATACTTTAGCTATTGTGAATAATAAAAATAAAATGTTTAGGCAGGATGGTGGGTAGCAGATGGAACCTTCCTACCTAGCTTTACTCCACCCCTTACTCCCTTATAAACAACAAATAAATACATTATTAGAATCAGCAAAGTCATGTTGGAAGTTATTCTGCCATTACAGATTAAGATTTGACTCTTCTGTTGACATCAAGAAAAAAATATTTCATATCATAATCAATTTAAGAAGTGTTTAGATTATTAGGCGTGCAGGTGGCGCATTGGTTAGTGTGCACGACCCATGTATGGAGGCCTTAGTCCTTGACGCGGGTGACCGGCGGTTCAAAAACTGGCCTCAGTCCAGCAAGAGACATGCAGGTCCTTTCCTGCATGTGTCTCACCCTCTCTCATACCTCCTTTCCTGTTGGCCTACTGTCAGAAAAACAAGCCACTAGTGCCATCATTAGAACAAAAAAAATCTGTTCAGATTACTATGTATTTTATTTTTTATTTTTTTTGTATTTAGGTTCCAGTATTTCCATGATGTTTATTTATGTTATTAGTTCATAATCCTTTGTTTAGTTTCCTTATTTAGCCTAGTGTTCTGTCCACTGTGTTATTGGATTTATAACTCTGAGTTCAGTGTTCAGTTCAATGAATTTATATATTGTTTGAGCTTGAAAGTTTAAGAAGATAGGGCGGATAAACAAAATAAATTATCAAGGAATACTTTTAGTACAAGAGATGGTAATAATACTGTAGATTTCCTTAGTTGTTTTCCTTTGGTGAGAATCTCTCTACAGTATGTCTCAGCCAGCTATCTCTGTCAGTCTTCATCCCTCAGCTGCACTGCCTTCATTCTCCTTTGCCAATCTCCACATTTTGTATGTCATTCTTTATGCTTACCTCAGTATACAGGCTCATTAGTTCTCTTTGTTCCCCACTATATTCTTCTGTTACTCTGCCCATAGTCACCCTGCTTTGCCTGTATCTCTGCCTGTGCTCCATGTCCCTTTCTGCACGTGTCTAGTTGAATTAGTTTGTTATTTCTTGTCATCAACCACTTTGAGTCATCATGTTAGACCATACTAACTGTCACGAATGGAACTCGGCTAAACAGCACTATGCATTCAGCAGCAGTTGTACTAAACTAGGGTGGATTCTGAATACATCAAATTGTAAATCCTGTCACCTGTTCTTAGCTCGTATGAAATCACCTTTCGTGCAGTCGACATTAAGAACTGTATCCTATCATTTGCAGGTGTCTCACACAGTACATATTTCATGTATCCTAAAATAATGTTTTGTTTTTTTTTTACTCTGTGAGGTGGGCTGTGCCTATACCTCCTGGCAGGCAATGAAATCTTGGCACCCATAGCAATGTTAGGATGTATGCTAAATGTACAATCTATAGGAAGCATCCTGCCACAATGACCAGGACAAAACAGAAGAAGTGGAGCAGCTGGTGGACTGATGCAGAGTCAATGGCCTGATCCTGAATGTGAAGAAAACGAAGGAGATCATTTTCGACTTCAGGAAGAATCGGCCAAACCATCCCCCACTGCTCATCAACAGCTCAACAGCACCAAATTCCTGGGGGTGCAGATCACAGACAACCTCACCTGGACTGTAAAAAACACCTCATTGGTCAAAATTGGGCACAAAAACGCATGTACTTCCTACGGAGGATGAGGAGAGCCCACCTGCCCCCTCCCATTTTCAAGATGGTTGAATGGCATATCGAATTTATATTACATATATTCTGTAAAAATGTCAACTGTTAACATTAACATCTTAATATAAATTAATTTGGGCCTTCT